CATGTGGTGCTGGGGGATTGAACCGCGGTCCCTGTGCTTTGCTAAGCTTGTTCTAAGTAGGTGCTTTAGACCACTGAGCCATCTCACCAGCCCTCAGAAGGATTTTTAAGGCAGTTAAATCCATTGGGTTTATCACTGATTGGAGTGTGGAGTTAGGAAAGACAGGCAGCGATGAACAGACAGACCAGTCCAGCGCGGGGGCGTGGCCGCCCCTTCCTTCCCCACCCACTCACATCTTCTCGGACAGATCCTCATCTTCACGGAAACTCAGGTTGCGCTTAATGATAAGGGCTTCTGTGATGCAGACACCCTCCCCTGGGCTCTGGGCTAGCTCATCTGTGAAGAAACGATTCCTGTTGTTTTTTCTTTCAGTCTTGGAGGCCCAGGCCCTGTGAGGTAGGACCACCCAACAACCCATCTCCCTGCTCACCTGCAGACATCATCTAAGATAAACAGCTGCTGGTCTGAGGCGGACGACAAGGATTGTGACGGCCTTCAGGGATGGCTTAAAACCAGCTTGATAGAGGAGAAAAAAGCTCCCCCTTGGGAAACAATGGAAAAGGGTTGATTCACGGTGTTTTGTTAGGGGTAGGTTTGAAGACAGATGTAAGGATGGGCTATCTGGAATCTGAGGGATGTGGAGGAGCTTTACTGGTAGTAAACGGGAGTTGTGGACAGCTGGGAGGAAGAAGGAGCGGTTCCCAGAGAACCGCCTCGTTGCTAGGAAACCGGACGCCAGGTAGGGGAGGAGGAGGGCTCCACCGGTCAGACTCTGCGCATGCGGAGTCTGGCTTCATCGGGCGGGTCCGCCCACTACTTCCGGTTAGCGGACCCACAATCCTTAGCTGCTTCCGGCTCCGTTCTGCTCCTGTCTGTTCTTCCGGTAGCTATGGCCGCGGCCGTGGTTGGGGTGCTGCGAGGGGTTCTCCTGCCCCAGGCGGGTAAGGAGTAACCCAAGGCCTCGCTGTGCGTCTGGCCAGCGCTCCCTGGTCCTCGTAGCCCCTCCTTTCCTTATAATCCCTCCACTGACTTCTGACACCGGACCGCTCGCGGTGATCAGCTAAATCTGCGGGCTTTGTGCCGTCTGCTGCTCGGTGATTTCAGACTCGTAGTTACGGCAACCATGTCACCAACAGCAGCACTTGTGCCCTCCGTTCCAGCCCCCCGGCTCTGGGTTTCTCTAGAGCACCGCGCAGCTCTTGCCGCCGACCCGTTCTCTTTGCCTGCCCCGCTCCTTACGCGCACTGGTTGCTCTGCGGCACCTTCACAAAGCCTCAGCCAGAATGTCGCCTCCTCTGGCCTTGGACCCCACAGTCCCATCACAATCTGTAATTTT